TTTGTGGTTTTTGGGTAGTTTGGTGTTGGTTGAGGTTGTGGTTGAGGTTGGGTTTGAGTGGTTACTTTCGGATTTGGGGTGTTGTGGTTGTTTGGGTTTTTTGGGCATCCCCTGTAGTTTGCTGGGTGGTTACCCTCACAATTGCAGCATTTTGCTGGTGTGGTCTTGTCAGCTTTCTTGCAGTCCGAATAAAAGTGGTTTCCGGCGCATTTGTGGCATTTAGGGTTTGCGTTGCAGTTCCTGAGTGAGTGCCCGAATTTTTGGCAGTAGTGGCATTGGGGGATCTCCCTTTTGCCAGGGTGCCTTTGTGTTTCTACGACTATTGGCATGTGGGCGAGATATTTGAGGTTGAAAATGTTTGTCTGGCTTTGGGGGAGTAAGAATTTTAGATGTCCTGTGGGTGTGTTTCGGCTCCTACCTGTTTTGAACCATTCTGGTTCTGCTGGTTCAAATTCCTGTTCTCTTAATTCATCCATTAGGTTGTCTAACGGAATTTCTGGGTTTAATCCTTTGATTATGATGTTTAGTTTTAGATCCTCTTTTAGAAAGTATGTACCTATGGTATTGAATGTTATTTGATTTTAGCAATTTTGTGGCGTTCCTGTGGTCAGTTGATGTTTTGGGGGTTATCGCAATTCCCATTGTGTTTTTCTTTAGGTCGTGAAAGTTGACGTTATTTCCTTTGAGTAAGTTGTGTATTTGTATCCAATTTTTAGGTTCCCTAATAATGATTGGGGGAATCTTATCTGCTTTTGGTTGTTCGTTTTGCTGCATAGCTTGTACATGCGTTTGCTTTGGTTTTATCGCTAAGCTGCTATGAGGCATGTTCAGGGGGTTTTTGTTTGGTTTGGATGGGAGAACTGGGAAGTCGGGGTTCTCATTTTGAGGGGATTCGTGGATCTCGGCGGTCTCCATTTCTTGAATCTCTTCATCTTCTTCATCTTCTGATGATGAAGATGATGACTTTGGGCCCAGTCTTTGTCTTTTGGCGTTGTTTTTATTTGTTGGTGTATTATTGGAATTTTCGTTTGCGTTAATTTTTGATTTAAGATCTGTGTTGACTTTATTTAGATCTTCAATATATTTCTGTTGAGAATTAATAGTATTGATGGCTTCATTCAATTTTAAATTTTGATTCTTGAAGTTTACAATAAGATTTTGCATCTGGTTTTCCAGAGTAGTGTATTTGAGCTTGAGGTCTGCAATTACTCGTTCTTGATTTTCGGTTTTGGTAATGAAGTCAGCTATGCTGGTGTCGTTTACCGTTAGTTGGGCTTGCTTGACCTCAAGCTCTTGATTTAGAATCTGATTATGGTTTGATATGGAATCGATTTTTTTGGTTAACGAGTGAATTTTTGATCTATATTGTTTTTCTGTTAGTGACTGAATATGGATTTTTTTAGTGGGAATTCTAGTATCTGACTTACCCCTTGGTCTAACTGCTGGCTCGTTTTCACAATCACTATTTACACTTTTTTTTTTTGTTAATTCGCTAGCGTTCGAACTCATCGCGGGGGCTTTGGTGGGCCCCATTTTACCACGCCCGAGCGTGGTACTTGTGGAGTTTGGTGGGACTTCTCTTCTTTGGGTGGGTGTTTCCGGTCTATGGTGGAATTTCTCTGCGGTTTCAATTTCGCCTTTTAGTTTTGCCAGCAGGCCACAGGTCGAATTTCTTAAGCCCCTATGACACTGCTGGAATTTAACTGTTGGCTGGGATTGGCTTCTTGGGATCTTGGCTGGTACGTCTTAACTCTTCTGCTGTCACGACTCGACTTCAATCAATTAAATGCTTGAAACGGACCAAAAATCTCGTTATTTAACTTACGTTCGAGTCCCTTCACAAGCTCCGCCCACTGCGCTTACGGCCAATGGGACGCTTCTCGCGTTTCCATTGGTCGCTCGTACGCTTTATATAGCGACGAAAAGTGTCGGAGGCAGATCATTCTGCTTCTGCATTTTGGACCGCGTAGAGGTCTGCTCTGCTGTTTTCGAAAGTTTTAAAAGCCCATTTTCATAATGTCCGGGCGTGGTAAAGGAGGAAAAGTTAAAGGCAAGGCAAAATCCCGTTCAAGCCGTGCAGGACTTCAGTTTCCAGTCGGAAGGATCCACCGTTTGTTGAGGAAAGGAAACTACGCCGAAAGAGTAGGAGCCGGCGCTCCCGTATACTTGGCCGCCGTCATGGAATATTTGGCCGCCGAAGTACTCGAACTGGCAGGAAATGCAGCCAGGGACAACAAGAAGACTCGTATCATTCCGAGACATCTTCAATTGGCCATAAGAAACGACGAGGAATTGAACAAACTCTTGTCAGGAGTGACCATCGCACAGGGTGGTGTGCTGCCAAACATCCAAGCTGTCCTTTTGCCCAAAAAGACAGACAATAAGGCCAAGTAAATAGGCATATATTTACTTCGACGCATCAATCGGTCCTTTTCAGGACCACAATTCACAAAAAAAAAAAGAATTCGTACCTACCTCTACCTATCGAACACAGTAAAAAATCGAGTGTTAATTTTAACACGCAAAAGTGGTACATATATAGGTAGGTCCACACTCATGCGTGTTAAATTCACCACTAATAAAATGTGGTAAAATTTGGTAAATTTTATTTAAAAATACATTCATTTTACCCTTTTTTGCGTGTTTCTTTAAAATCCCAAATAGGGTTAAAATAATCTTATCTTTTGTAAAAAATAATATTTTCCGTGTTAAAAGTATTTAAATAAAGGTGATTTAGTGTCAATTTATTAACCTAGTTTAGTGTGAATTGTATTTATTTCGTGTTAAAAATATTTTAGAGGACGTAAAAAGTACACTTTACTGAGTGTTAATTTAGGTTTTGATCAAAGGTAAATTTTATTTGCCTAGTGTTAAAAATATTTTGGTTAATGAAAAAAAAAAACACATTATTGAGTGTTAATCGTTTATTATAGGTGTCTATAAATTAAAAATAAATAAAAATGGCTTTTACAAGAAAACAAACCCATCCTAAAAAGAAAAACAATAACTGGTAAAAGTGGTAAAAGGTTAAACAGTAATTAAAACACACTATAAATATTTTCTAATTTCTGTTTTATCTTTCCCTATATTTTAAAAAATTTGATGTATTCCTTGACCAGATGACCATAATATTATGTACCTATCTTCCTACATTCAACTGTTTCTGAGATAGGTAGTTTTACAATTAAATATCTAACAATAAATTGATTTTCAAGACATCTCGGGAACAGTTGAATTCAGGAATGAACCTAATAAATCAAATTTCTTAAAATGTTTCCCTTCATTTTAAGGTCACGAAATATATCAATTTTTTTTAAATATAGGGAAAGATAAAACAGGAATTGAAAATATTATAGTGTGTTTCACTTATTATTTTGACACAGTTTGAATCTTCTACAATAACGCATATTTTAAAATAAAATACATAATAAATACATCCTTCATCCTTCTTCAGATATAGATAGCCTTAGTACAGGATGCTGCAATCTGGAGTGTTTTGACAGGAAAAACATACTTCCAGACCAGATAGAGGAAAATTGACTTAGATGTTATGCGATTGATTTTCCAGAAACATAGATTGTTAAAAAACCTATCGCGATATCTTCAATGGTATATCATAAATACAGGGCTATTTTCGATTTTTCCCTATTATGAAAAATGGCTATAAGTTTGTTGTTTATCAATTTTTTTTATTTTTGTGAAAACATTTTTGGGATACTTAGCACAATCCAGTGGCCTACTCAGTTTTTTTCTATTCCATTCCCATTTTGAGATATTGACCAAAGCCCTATTTTTTTTTTAAATAGGACACCCTATATATCAATCTCATTGGATAGCTCTGCTTTTGTTGATTTCAATGATATAAAGTTTGATAGATTTATCTCTAACAGTTTTCGAGAAACAAAAATTATATCTCTTTCAATCATAAGAAACAATGTGTTAGAAAGACACCTTCCTCATTTGCCTTACAGACATAAAATCCTTTTCCAACAAAAACAGATATAATTTTTTTTCTCGAAAACTGTTATAGATAAACCCATCGAACTTTATATCCTTGAAATCAGCCAAAACAGAGCTATCCAATGAGCTATTATCATATAGGGTGTTTTATTTAAAAATATCGGACTTTGGTCGATATCTCGAAATCAGAGCGAAATAGAAAAAAACTGGGTACGCGACTGGATTATGCTCAAAAAAGTACGTCCAAATTTTTTTTACAGAAATAAAAAAAAAAAGATAAATAAAAAACTTATAGCTATTTTTCATAAAAGGGGGAAATCGAAAATCGCCCTGTATCAATGGTACCATTGAAGATATCGTGATACGGTTTTTGACAATCGACGTTTCTCAAATATCGATCCCATAACATCCCTGTCAAGGTAACCAAAAAAACAACTTCTAAAATAGTTCCAAAAAAAATCTCTTTAACAAAAGCTAAAATATTTTGAGCAAACTTATAAACAATAATATAATGCCTACTTTATAAACATAAATATTTTTATTGTGAAAAAACAAAACCTTTACTGTTCTAAAATATCATGTAATACAAACTTTGGTAATAACATTGTAATACCTACATAAACTAGAATACATAAAATAATACCCAAGATGAGGTTGCAACAAAATTTTTGACAGAGTGTATTTGTTCATTGCTACTTATTTAAAAGTTTTTTTAAAAAATTTAAATTTTAAACTAAAATATGCTTTGGGACTATAAAAAAATCTGTCTTACGGAATGGTTGTTTTTTTTCATAGGCATCCTTGTTTCGGAGAAGTTCAACATCAACAAGAACCATTGAATTATAACTAACTTTAATCGGATAAGCATTTAAATCTTTGTGAAATTTTTCAGTTTTCCAAGGTTGTGCTATAAAAAATAGTTGATTTTCAATCAGAAGAATTTTTTTTATTTCAGAGAACGTGGGTCCCATTTCTTCAACTTTAGTGCATATAAATAAACCTATCCTATAAGTAAAACTACTGTAGGTAAGGAACTTGATTTCAAATATTTGTTCAGGATTAGGAAGATCCAAGTTATCTTTTATATTTATTCTTCAAGTAAAAAAACTGTCTTTGGACCAAGTTCAATATTATCTTTGAAAGATATATTTTCCCAAAGTACATTTATATGTATTTGGTGTCTGAAAGCGAGCATCTTGGGGACATTTTTGAAATTTTTAAGTTTGTGTACAAGATCCTTAAAATATCCATGTTTCGCCTCAAAGCGCATACACCATAGGTGTACCAATGGACCCATTTCAGAAATAGCTCTAGGATAATGTATCATCATATGATGTTTGGGTAGCAAGTGACCATATTCCAAAACTTTTTTGTGATGATTAATAATAAGTTGTTCTAACTCATCTATTGCTTTTTTGGGAATAATTGGCGAAAAACATATATTCATTATACCAAGTAAAAGGATAATCATATTAAATTCTCCACATGTACTTGAAACATCAGAAAGAATCAGTGGAAGATATCTTATAAGACACCACATTTGAGCGGCTCGTTGCCCAATAATATATCCACTTTTATCTAGTTTTATAGGACTTGGTTTGCTAGATATATCAATTTGTCCATAATCAAAAAAAAAAATTCTATCATTAATTTCTTCAAGAGTTAATATTTTTTGACTAACCAATTTATTGAGCCATAATTTTATTTCGTAATGAGCAACACCCTCTAAGATGTCATGCATGACATCAACAGAAACAGAATTGCCTAAATTAAAATAAGAAAGATCATTTAAGCAGCTTATAATTTTTACTCCATAAGGCGTATCAGAATAGGTTATTATTAAATTTTTATAAAATTCTAAACTTCTTTTTTGAAATGCAGGATGGTTCTCAGTCAAAACATTTTCAATATTCCTTTTGTGAATGAGGCAATTCCGACAATAGTAATTGGCATTGAATGATTCTACCATTCCATACATGGTGTTTCCTCCCAAATTATCATGACTTAAAGCAACTAGTGTACCTTTTAATTTATAGGGTAAAAAATCCACTGATAATCCTTGAGTTTCTAATTCTTGTAAGTCTTTCAGGAAAGGCTGTAAGAATGAATTAATGCTCGCCTCTTTTAAGTCATGAGAGTAAAATAGTGCAAGTAAATGTATATTTGCTAATGCAGATAAAAATTTTGGGGGAACGTTCCGTATAATAAAATAAAAAGCACCCATTTTGTGACAACCAGTTTTAGTACCCAAAGGAGCTGAACACTCAAATTCGTCATAATATAATTGTATCTGGATTGCATTTGGTTGTTGTTGAAAAAGTAGATTTCTTTTGTAAGAGCTACCATCAGAATATGTTTCATAAAGCAAAGTTTCATTAACATTGATATCTTCATTCAAGAAAAATCTTTGGAACTGTTGATTTTTTAAAACATTAGTCAATGTCTCGAGAAGGGGAATATATGTAAAAGACTTAAGTATATTTTTCTGGACATATGTTTTGCTGGTTTTATTAAAAACTTGATCAACACGAACACCTATTGGTATTTCTTTTGGTTGAACAATTTTGCTTGAAAAGTGTTTTTTTATTTTGTACTCTGTATTACACAAATCCAAATTATTCAAAATATACTCTGAAATCCAATGGAAAGGATCTGTATTTCTGTTTTCTTCTTTAACGATTTGTTCAGTAATTTCTAAAATGTTCTGAATTAACTCTTTAAGACATTCCATTATACGAATAATGGTTGATATGGGAATTCCAAGTGACAAAATTTGAGACAGAAAGGACAAAACATGAATATTTACTTCTTCTGATAATAATGATTTTAAATCCACTTTTTTCTTTTGATCAATATTAGATCCATTATTTGGAAGTTCCATTTCAGGACAAACATTTTCATTATTTTCATGGGAGTTTATTTCGGGACAAGTAAGACTGAGATCTATTTCTATTTGTGTAAGTTTTTTACAACTTTTTAAATGCTTTCTGTAGCCATTAAAAGTTTTAAATATCAAGGCACAACTCACTGAACAACATTTTAGAGATAAATTATGTTCTATGGGAAAATGATTTCTTCTTATATGTTGAATCAAAAGTAAAATATTATTAAAATTTACAAAACACACAAAACAACTTAGTTGTGACATTATCACAATTTTTTTTTTTTGAACTTGCCCCAAAGGCTTTTCTTGTTTTGATAACCGCAAAAATGGTAACAGTTAGTTAATTAGTACTTGAATTTTTTATAAAGTCTTATTCGTTATTAAAATAAAAATTCAAAGTTCTCAAATATGATGGAATTAATTTATACTTCGATGAATGTTTGTAACCTGTTCATCAGTTCCTTCATTTTTGTTGTCATATTATTAAAATCTAATTTTATGTCGTAAAAAAAATTTCAATAAACCTCAAAAAAATATCAAGTCCAGTATCATATCTTACCTTAAAAACGAAGTAGCATTTAAAAAGAAAATCAAATGACTCAATAATGTTGTTGCAACGAGTGTCCACTATTTTTGAGTCAATAACTACCTTGTACTCTGAGATGGCAGCTTTGTTTGCTCCAATGCCAATTAGATATGGCTGGAATCCTTTTCTTTCATCCACGATCCTTTGTAGAGGTTCTCCAACCTTAAAAATATATTTATCGTTATGAAAAGCATGACTTAAATTTTAACAATATTTTTTTATAGCTATTTGTTACAGCTAATAAGTTTGCCTAGACACTCACAGTGCAGAAAATTAGTAATTTGTCCACAGATGATTCAAATGAGTCTCTTCTTCCCACTTTTTTTCCCTTGGCAGTAGCTGGCAGCATATGCAATAGCGCTAAAAGTGCTCGCGTCGGCTTATCCCAACCTTAAATTAAAAAATTTGAATAATTCTAAAATGTATTATTTTTTCTAAGTATACTAACCTGAAACAGTTCCATCAATTAGTGATGATTTACTGCAAGCAGTTTTGTCATACACTTTAAAGATAATGTCTAAGTATTTCTCAAATTTTGGGGCAAATGGACAAGAATCAGGATAAAGCAAATTAAAATCTTGATGAATCTAAATACTTATGAACCAATAAAGTAAGCTACATAAGTGAATTTAGTTTCTGAACAAACTTACCAAGCCATCAGTGTCGAGAAATCGAGGAAAATCATCAAGTGTAAAATTTCTCTGTTTTCTCACATTAATTGTGCTTTTCATTTTTTTAAAAATCTCCTCTTTCTGAGTCTTGTAATTTGAATTTTTTAAAAACTCTATGTCTCGTTCTTCTTCTGTGCTTATTTCAATATTTTTCGGCTTTTTAAATGGCACCCTATTTTCTATTCCATCATCACATTTTCTCTTTCTTATGTTACCCCTACTTCTCATCACAGTTCGAAGACGCCAAGCCAAATATCCACTTGGCGTTTTTTGAGAGTCATCATAAAATATTTCCTATAAATCAATAATTCAATTATTCAATTACAGAATTAAAAGTATTTAACAAAAAATACTTATAAAAATATCCATTTATATGATTCATACATGAGAAGATTATTATTATTTTTATCATTATCATTATTATTATTATTATTAATTACAAAATTATGAAGCTTTAAACTGAAGCTGCTAAAGCATAATTACTAAAATAATACCAAAACCATAAGTATTCAGATAATATGTACTAATTTATATACAGGGTCTTTGTTTTAAAATTCAGCACCCCTATTATTCTCTTGGAGTTGAAAAATTTTCTAAAAAATCCCTAAAACATGTCAATTATAATTTGAAAGGGGGTGAGTTTTTATGCAAAATTCACCTCCCCCCAGAGTCACCCCCTAGAAAATCCTGAATGTGAATAGAGAGGGTAAGTTTTAAAATGAACACTCTGTAGATATGCTCATATAAGCTAAAAAAAATGTAAGATAAAATAAAAAGGTAACTTACGTAACCCCCCTTGCTACTAGTTGGATCTTTGAGCTTGGGAAAAAGTTGAACAATGGCCTTTGCATATTCAACTTTAATATTTTTTGTTAAATTTTGTCCAAATTCATTCAACATCATTTTTACAGTTAGATTTACTAAATCCCTCCTAGTCCTATCGGACAATATTCCGTTCTCGTCATATTCATTCAAAATATGAGAACCACCATTTTTATGTAAAAACTGTTTAAGGTCCTAAAATATAAACACAACAATAGTTTTTATTTTATTAATAAATATTATATAAGTGTACCTGATGCTTGGATGTAAAGTTGTTCAAACGGCCAGGAGTTAGAACAGGAACTAATGGAATGCAAAACCCATCCTTATCAACTTGCATTTCCTAAAAAATTTTAATGTGTTTTTCTTTGTCCAATTTAAATTACATAGCAAAATTCCAAAAATCAAAATATTATACTAGTTGAACTATACTCCTGGACAAAATTATCGCACCACTACACATAAGCATCACCATAAGCAATGGTGCGATAATTTTGTCCACGAGTATAGTATATTAAAATACAAGTTGCAGAAGGCCACATATTCCCGCACGAATTCGAAATTTGGCCACGAGCGACGAAGGAGCAACGTGTGTTTTATAGTATTTTCTCAATTTTGGATTTTATTTTTCATATTTAATAGTAGATTATACCACGAGTCAATAATGATAGCTATTATTCCCGAGGAATATCAGTGAGTTACATTCCGAGGGAATAATAGCCATTATTGCGAGTAGTATACTCTACTTTATTTACGACAAATTAATTTATTTGAGATTTTCAATGAACAAATTTCATCCGTCTCATAATTTTCAATACAAATCCACAAGCACTACACGTTTGACACTGACACTTTTGTGGAATAATGACCATTAATCCCGCTACTCGTCATTAATCCCTGGAGGAATAACATATGTCATTATACTGCCAAAATCACAAATATAATACGCACATTATACATTAGTCGTAAATATTTTTTTTTTTTTGTGAACGCTGTTAGTTGGGGATTTTTTATTTTCAACATATGTCAGTTGGTGACACTTTACTTACCTACAAACTGACAGGTGGATTCTATCATTATCAATGAACTATAAACTACACGTATCTGGAATGGCACCGACCGTTGTCGGATATGGCATTTGTATGGCATATGTCATCTCGCTTAGTGCGTCCAAAAAAGCTACATAGTGGGGTATCCCTTTCTCTCTCCAGTTCATTGCTGTTAGGTTTGGCATATTGCTAACCTCGAATAAAATATTTTTTAGACAAGGAAAGATTTCCATGATTCGCCAATAAGATAAATAGAGATGTGTGTACCCCACATTCTCCATCTCAATCTGCCGCAAATTTATAGATCGGCGGGCCATTCCAGGTACGGGTAGTTTATAGTTCATTGATCATTAATAGCAGGTTTGACAATTTTGAAGGTACCGATAGGCATACTTTGAAAACTAAATGTCACTAAAAATCGTTGAAGAATGAGCTTCATTCTTCAATGATTTTGCGTGCGGGAATAATCACATTCTCACATCAAAATCGAGAATAGTATATTCTTTAACGAGCATATAATGATGGCTATTATTCACGAGAATGAAAATTCAAACACGAGCCGAAGGCGAGTGTTGGAATTATTCGAGGGAATAATAGCCGTTATTTGCGAGTAGAAGACTATACTTTCTCTTCGAACTTTTTGAAAGAAAATCATTAGTTTTTGTAAAAAATAACAATCATCAAAAGTCTAAACCCGCCTTAATTGAAAGTTTAGTGATCTGACAGCAGACGTCAGTCATGTTTTGTTTGCATTGTCTCGTTGCGGCCCAAGTATTCCGAAAATATGGAGAATTTGATTGGACGACAGGCCGTGGATTCCGGTTTGGAATCCACGGGGCGTGTAGAATGTATCATTAATCAATTTAATTTCGAGCAAGAATGAATGTATTATTTAATGTTCGAAGAGAAAATCTATTTAAGTAATTGCATATAAAATCTTTTTTTTTTTAAGATAATACCCCAAGTCAAAAATTTAGTAACTTTTTTGGCAACAAAAGCCTTTTCTACATAAAAAATTTGAAAGCATTGACAATTTTACATTGTATTGCCAACATAATGTCATTTTGACTTTTATCTTTAAAAAAACCAGACTTTACCTATTGTTCGTCGATTTTAATCTGATACTCGGACGGAATGTAAGCTGGTGGCTCCCTACATTAGAACGCCAATGGTTACCTGACGTCACACCTGTTTTTGTCATATGAAACACCCCCTCGCTCCTCATACCGCAAGTATCAGTTAAAAATCGACGAACAATACTCATAATTTGGCTTTTCACATACCGTTTGCGATCCTGATGGTAAATTGAGTGTTTCTTGCCCGGCAATACTAACAATCTGATATGTTGACGGATTTCCATCACCACAGTTTTCTGGTTCTTCATCTTCATTGGACTTGAAATCATTTAGGAACCATTCGTCAAGGTCTGATACAGCTGGTGTAGCATCATCAATCGAAAGTGTCGAATTTGATGATTCATAATTGGTTGGGGTTTTCGTTACTACTTTTAATATTTTTGTTGCTTTCAACACCTCCTCAATACAATACAATCCCTGAAAATTTCAGCTCATTGACACTTATAGTTCCTGAGATAAAATCGTGCTAAGCAATTGTGGTGATTTATCAATTTTTCTGAGTGCCTTTTTTCATGGATTTTGGCTTCAAATCTGAGAATAATTTAGTTTATGGATTTCAGGGTATCACGAGGGACCATTAGGATACAAAATCTCGACAAAAAAAAAATTGAAATTTCATCGTTTTAGTAAGAAGGTACCCCCCTTATGATTTTTTTGGAAAATTTTGAAAAGTCATAACTTTTTTTCTATTATAGATAGAAAGCTGTATCTTTCACTGAAAATTATCCTTTTCATTGGACTACAATCCCTGAAAATTTCAGCTCATTGACACTTATAGTTCCTGAGATAACATCGTGCTAAGCAATTGTGGTGATTTATCAATTTTTCAATTTTTCTGAGTGCCTTTTTTCATGGATTTTGGCTTCAAATCTGAGAATAATTTAGTTTATGGATTTCAGGGTATCACGAGGGACCATTAGGACACAAAATCTCGACAAAAAAAAAATTGAAATTTCATCGTTTTAGTAAGAAGGTACCCCCCTTATGATTTTTTTGGAAAATTTTGAAAAGTCATAACTTTTTTTCTATTATAGATAGAAAGCTGAACCTTTCACTGAAAATTATCCTTTTCAAAGGACTACAATCCCTGAAAATTTCAGCTCATTGACACTAATAGTTCCTGAGATAAAATCGTGCTAAGCAATTGTGGTGATTTATCAATTTTTCAATTTTTCTGAGTGCCTTTTTTCATGGATTTTGGCTTCAAATCTGAGAATAATTTAGTTTATGGATTTCAGGGTATCACGAGGGACCATTAGGACACAAAATCTCGACCAAAAAAAAATTGAAATTTCATCGTTTTAGTAGGAAGGTACCCCCCTTATGATTTTTTTGGAAAATTTTGAAAAGTCATAACTTTTTTTCTATTATAGATAGAAAGCTGAATCGTTCACTGAAAATTATCCTTTTCCAAGGACTACAATCCCTGAAAATTTCAGCTCATTGACACTTATAGTTCCTGAGATAAAATCGTGCTAAGCAATTGTGGTGATTTATCAATTTTTCTGAGTGCCTTTTTTCATGGATTTTGGCTTCAAATCTGAGAATAATTTAGTTTATGGATTTCAGGGTATCACGAGGGACCATTAGGATACAAAATCTCGACAAAAAAAAATTTGAAATTTCATCGTTTTAGTAGGAAGGTACCCCCCTTATGATTTTTTTGGAAAATTTTGAAAAGTCATAACTTTTTTTCTATTATAGATAGAAAGCTGAATCTTTCACTGAAAATTATCCTTTTCGAAGGGCTACAATCCCTGGAAATTTCAGCTCATTGACACTTATAGTTCCTGAGGTAAAATCGTGCTAAGCAATTGTGGTGATTTATCAATTTTTCTGAGTGCTTTTTTTCATAGATTTTGGCTTCAAATCTGAGAATAATTTAGTTTATGGAGTTCAGGGTATCACGAGGGACCATTAGGACACAAAATCTCGACAAAAAAAAAATTGAAATTTCATCGTTTTAGTAGGAAGGTACCCCCCTTATGATTTTTTTGGAAAATTTTGAAAAGTCATAACTTCTTTTCTATTATAGATAGAAAGCTGAATCTTTCACTGAAAATTATCCTTTTCAAAGGACTGCAATCCCTGAAAATTTCAGTTCATTCGCACTTATAGTTCCCAGTGTTGCCAACTTGATAAAATAATGACCAGATCTGGTAATATCGACACCGGTTTTAGTAATGAACATTTTCAAAATATATCAATTAATATTTCTAGTAATTTGACATTTCATTCCAGCAAAATTCTGGTATTTTCGCAATAGCAATCAATAATCCATTTTTCTTGAATTTATGAGGTCTATGAACCTAGCAGTCCCAAGGTGGAAAAAAACTTCGGGATCTATATAATAATTAGGTGCTTTTTAGGTGCTAATTAGGGCCTTTAATTAAAAATTAGGTGCTCCTCTAATTCAAATCAAAAAAGACTAAGGGATTGCTAGGTTTATGAAAGCTAGTATATGTAGTAAAAAAAAATCTGTAACTCAGTTAATAATTAATCAATTCTATTTTTTCTTGGACTATTTAGGAGCACCTAAAAAGCACCTAATTTTGATAGAAAAGAAAATTTTGGAAAAATATTTTTTACTATAGGGGACTACTAGCTTTCATAAACCTAGCAATCCCTTAGTTTTTTTTTGATTTTCTTAAAAACTAGAGCAACGCCTAATTTTTAATTAGAGGCCCTAATTAGCACCTAAAAAGCACCTAATTATTATATAGATCTCGAAGTTTTTCCGTCATTCTGACACACCAACATGTAAACGTAAAGCCAGCAGTCCCCTAATAATTTTAAAAAAAAACTGTAACTCAGTTGATAATTAATCAATTCTATTTTTTCTTCGACTATTTAAGAGCACCTAAAAAGCACCTAATTCTGATACAAAAGAAAATTTTGAAAAATATTTTTTACAATAGGGGACTACTAGCTTTCATAAACCTAGCAATCCCTTAGTTTTTTTTTTTTTTTGATTTTCTTAAAAACTAGAGGAGCACCTAATTTTTAATTAGAGGCCCTAATTAGCACCTAAAAAGCACCTAATTATTATATAGATCTCAAAGTTTTTTCGTCATTCTGACACAACAACATGTAAACGTAAAGCCAGCAGTCCCCTAGTAATTAAAAAAAAATCTAACTCAGTTAATAATTAATCA